CCTGTACACTAGAAGCTCCATTGGGAGCCAATGGGATGAGGACAGATGAAGCTCTCTTAGACAACAGCAGACCTTGACATCCTCTTAAGAAGCTGGCAGAGTTTACATGGTGCTGGGGGTGGAGGGTGGAGCTGTCACTGTGAAACTGAGCTCCTTCCAACCATCCGGGCTTCAAAAGACCTAGGAAAAATGTCAGACTTCTGTAAACTGAAGTCATGGTTCTTCCTTGGAAGACTTTTTAAGAAAGAAACATCTAAGTAATTCTTAAGGACCCAGCTCCATATTTGGCAAAGTGTTTAGAATCACAGGTTTTCCCTAGAATGAAGGAACGAGGCAGGGCACACGAGGCAGGGCACACTGCCGCACTGAGGAAAGCTCTCTCTCACATGACTGCTCGTGCTGTCAAGGCTGTAGATAATAGATTTACTTAGTCACCGAAAACATCCTATAAGCTATGGAGGTGTCTAGAATTCACAGCAATGCCTCTTCAGAAAGCAGGGGCCGAGGTCTTCCAAAGCTTCTGCAAACTATACTCAGATACACGCTTGAGAATACCTTCACATTAACTATTGATGCTTTAAAGCAAGACACGGCGAGGCACTTTCTGAGTACAGCTACTCCTTGTAAATCATTCGTGCGTGACATACAAGGTCCATACCTTCTCTACCACAGATCCTCTCCTTCATCCTAAAACTCATCAACAGAAATGACCTATAAATCTGTCGCTTATTTGATGTTTCGAGTGGATTATACACTTACAAACCACCCTAAAACGGCATTAATGAGATCCCTTTTCAAACAGCTAAACTGCTATTTTCTTTTGTATCTTACGCTCAACTCGTGAACATCCTCATCATAACAGGCACACACAATCCCTCCTCTTTGCCAGCTACTTAGCTCAATTAGACACACACTTCTGACCTTTATCAATAATTTGTTCTTTTGCAATTCTTTCCCAGGCTCCAGGCTCTTTGGGAATGACGAAGAGATCATTATAACAAACTGTGGTGCCCCACAGGCTAAGTGTTCACTCCCTCCCCTCAAAAGAAATGCATGTCCTAAACTGGCTCCATCCATCAATGGAGGGGGTGAGGAGGCCAAACAGACATGGAGAGTAGGACAGAGCTACAGCACAGGACAGCCATGGTGTGCTGACCAGGGCTCTCGGCCACTGGAGCAGAGCCTTGTACACACTGCTTTTCCACAGCCAAGCCTGCGCTCTGGAAACAGGCACGGGAGGCCAGTGTGCAGCAAAGTGGGGCAGAGGGCGGCCTGAAATAGGAACTAAACTTGGGTTTCTTTTTCAGAAAGGATACTGTAAACATGAAAGGTGACTTCACAGGCTGT